TCCTCCTCCTCCTCCTCCTCCTCCTCCTTCTCTCCTCCTACTCCTTCTTCTTCTTCTCTTTATTATTACTATGGTATGGCAGAATCAAACTCCTCATATGTGAGCCAGGGTCACCCAGCATGTTAGGCCAACATGCTACTAATCCAAATATCCCAGAACTTTGACCTTTCGCATATGTGGGTGATTGGCGGGTGCTCTGGTGTGGTTTGCTTCTTCTTTCCTATCAAACATCTATCGTCCTTATCTCCCCTCCTTCTTCTTTGTGTTTATTACTCTCTTGTAACACCTCAAATCTTCAGCACTTATATGACCTTATTGTGTTGCAAGTGCTGTAAAACACTTACTAAAACTAAAACTGACCTTTCACGTGTCAAAATGTTTCTGTTTTAAGTGATGGAATAGTTAATCTGCTAGTCTTTTGTTTTTTTCCTCTACTCGTCTCTCATGCAGGTGAAACGCTACCACTACCGCGATCTGTTTGCCCTGCTCACGTCTGACCAGAAGGCAGCCATGCCAGTGTTGGACCCTACGCAATGTGAGAGTTTAAAAAAAAAAATTTTAATTTCTTTTTGGAAAGGGATTGCGAATAATCTAATCAGTCTGAAGGGTAGGGAGAAGTGTATCATGCCTCCATCCTATGAGCTCTATAAGCTGGATCAGAGTACGGGAACTTGTGGTGACTACACCTGCCAGATGCTAGTGTCTGTAGACTACACCAGTTTACTTTTTTTAAACGTTTGTTTTGTGCACTAACTTTGAATATCTGCACCAAACAAACGTTTTAAAAAAGGCGGAAATAATGCTAAGTCACCATAGCCACCCAGGGACTTCGGAATTTCAATTATCGACTCGCAGTAAACGATACGTTTCCTAAAGAGCAAGAACAGACAGATATAAGTCTGTACGTCTGTAAGCCTTGTCTTTGTTGTGGACCTTTAAATTCCCATTCCAAGTTTTCAGCAGACTTAAAAATGGATATCAGAATTTATAGTAATTGATTGACGTTCTTTCTCCTTCGCTGTTTTTGTAATTAAGTGATGCTCTTTCTCCTTTGCTGTTTTTGTAATTAAGTGATGCTCTTTCTACAGCTCTTGTTTTTGTAATTAAGTGATGCTCTTTCTCCAGCGCTGTTTTTGTAATTAAGTGATGCTCTTTCTACAGCTCTTGTTTTTGTAATTAAGTGATGCTCTTTCTACAGCTCTTGTTTTTGTAATTAAGTGATGCTCTTTCTACAGCTCTTGTTTTTGTAATTAAGTGATGCTCTTTCTACAGCTCTTGTTTTTGTAATTAAGTGATGCTCTTTCTACAGCGCTGTTTTTGTAATTAAGTGATGCTCTTTCTACAGCGCTGTTTTTGTAATTAAGTGATGCTCTTTCTACAGCTCTTGTTTTTGTAATTAAGTGATGCTCTTTCTACAGCTCTTGTTTTTGTAATTAAGTGATGCTCTTTCTACAGCGCTGTTTTTGTAATTAAGTGATGCTCTTTCTACAGCGCTGTTTTTGTAGTTAAGTGATGCTCTTTCTACAGCGCTGTTTTTGTAGTTAAGTGATGCTCTTTCTACAGCGCTGTTTTTGTAATTAAGTGATGCTCTTTCTCCAGCGCTGTTTTTGTAATTAAGTGATGCTCTTTCTCCAGCGCTGTTTTTGTAATTAAGTGATGCTCTTTCTACAGCTCTTGTTTTTGTAATTAAGTGATGCTCTTTCTACATCTCTTGTTTTTGTAATTAAGTGATGCTCTTTCTACAGCTCTTGTTTTTGTAATTAAGTGATGCTCTTTCTACAGCGCTGTTTTTGTAATTAAGTGATGCTCTTTCTATAGCGCTGTTTTTGTAGTTAAGTGATGCTCTTTCTACAGCTCTTGTTTTTGCTACTTTTGCCACATATTTCCATTATGGTGAATGGATGAGCATGTAACCTGTGTAGAGAACTCAATGTAAAAAGATTTGCTCTCAATATCCATTTAGCCATGAGTAAAGTATTTCATGGTCATGACGATGCCACAATTTAAAAAAAATCTCTAATGTGACAGTTTTATTGTGGAAAGTATCATATGTGTTGTGATGCAATGGAATCAGGTGCTAGTCAATTTTGGGGCATGTGGAGTTATGGGTGTCATCTGAAAGCTGATTTATTTTGCCTTGCTTCCAAGGAAATAAATATCCATCTATCTTGAATAAAACTCAAGATATTTTCGATTGAAGGAAGTGAGGTCGCCTGGTTTCAGTGGTGAAATTAGCGAGAAAATGGACGCGAAAGTTGGGAGATTTCTCAAAGCTTGAGAGTTGTTGGAAACTGAACATTTACATTTTTGGGGCTTTTAGTCAACGTTTTTCAGAAAAATCCACATATAAAGGTGTTTTTAAATAGACATTTAAGGTGTTGCGCTAAAAAACAAAAATTCGACCGAAATTGATAAACTGACAGAAAAATGCCTATATTTTTTGTTTCATTATTTTGACGAGCGCCTGATTTCATCGCGATGTCTCACATTCACTTATTTCCTTCCAGCTGTGCACCCTCCGTGGCGGCACTGGTACAACGATCAGATACCTCCATACACCCAGCCACAGGACCGACGCAAGGCCAGAGAGGAGCGGGAGGCTGAGCGGGAAAGGTAGCTGTTGTAGTTGTTGTCTCAGTGGGGGGGGGTGTCTTTCTTGTCTTGTTTTATTGTGGGGGGGGGGGGGGGGGCAGGGGTTGTCTTTTCTGTCTTGTTTTATTGTATGAGTTGAAACTTAGTATCTTATTTCCTCCTTTTCTCAACACTTAATCAAAGTCGATGTCTCATAGTTAGCTTACAATTTTTGAAAATTCTTAGCTGACAATATATGGGTGGTTGGAGAGCACCAATGGATGGTCCTACTTCTTCCCTCTTCCTCTCTTGTTTCTGTGTGTCAGGTTGATAATCTCTCTACTAGTTATAGTCATAATGAAAGTGAACAGAATAGCTTTAAATCTAAGAAATGCTTTGTGGTATTCATGAGATGGCATTCTCATGGGAGAGGGCTGACAGAGAAAAAAAATAAACAAAAAAACAACAACCTGTGCCTACTTTTCAAGGGTAGCTTATGGTTGCTCCATCATGGAAACTTTAGTTTTATTAAGAGTTTTACAGTACTTGCAACACAATGAAGTCATTTAAGGCAAGAAGGAGAGATAAGGACAATAGATGTTTGATAGGAAAGAAGGAGAGATAAGGACAATAGATGTTTGATAGGAAAGAAGGAGAGATAAGGACAATAGATGTTTGATAGGAAAGAAGGAGAGATAAGGACAATAGATGTTTGATAGGAAAGAAGGAGAGATAAGGACAATAGATCTTTGATAGGAAAGAAGGAGAGATAAGGACAATAGATGTTTGATAGGAAAGAAGGAGAGATAAGGACAATAGATGTTTGATAGGAAAGAAGGAGAGATAAGGACAATAGATGTTTGATTGGAAAGAAGGAGCAGACCACACCAGAGAACCCACCAGCCACCCAAATGGAAACTGTACCATCGTCTGTGGTGTAGTGGTAGATTCTGCATTTTACACGCCAAAGAGGTGAGATTGGTTCCCGGGGGTGTAGATATTCTTTCTAGCCTTAACGTCTTTCTATTGTGATGCATCATATATGACATCACATACAGTTTGAGTTGATCCTGAACCTGGGGTTGAATCAGCCAGCCTGGTCAAAAATTATGACAATAACTGTGTAAAACAGTGCCAATGTCAAGGCCTTTTTTAGCTATGGGTATAGGGACACTGTTGTCAGCTCACTCTTTTTAAGTGGGTGGTTGGCGGGTGATCTGGTGTGGTTTGCCTCTTCTTTCCTGTCAAACAAATGCCTATCATCCTGATCTCTTCTTCTTTTTTTGTGTTTGTTACTCTCTTGTAACACCTCTAATTTTCGGCACTTATATGACCTTATTGTGTTGCCAGTGCTGTAAAACACGTACTAAAGCTAAACTCTTTTCAACATTGCTCCTCTACAGGTTGCTGCAACAGCAGAAAGATGCGGAGAGAAAGAGGAGAGAAGGAGAGCTACGGGACAGGAAGTATGTTCATGTAGGAAGTGGATTCAAACTGTAGATCAATGAGAAGATGTTTTTTCCAAAGATTGGATGTTATTAGTGTACTAGCTGGGCCCCCTTTCGATGAAAGGAATGATCGGTGCATTAACATCAACCGAAAGTCATTGGCCTACTATATTTACACTCTACTGGAATGGAGCAATAAATCTTGAGAGATGCAAAAAATTAGAAGGTCTAGATCTGTACTCTCAAAACTAAATGCGCCTCGCGAAATATCCCTTCCAGCACTTCTGCTGTGATGGACAGCTACACAGATTTGTTTCGTTTCTCAGTGGAATAATTACAAAGGCCAAAAAGGACGGGAACTTTTTGTCAAATATATATTTTTCTAAACTTAGGAAATGAATAAAGCAAAAATCGGGCTCCGTCATGGGGACCTATCTATCTTTTAGCAGGTACTTACCAACTTTGAACTCTGTAGCTGTCGTAGTTTTATGGGAAAAGTGACACATGTGTTTCCAAGTTGCCAAATATATAATAGATACAGTAGTAATATCAATTGTCTTAAACAACGTTTGCTTATATTTAGGACTTGTTCCTACTCGCTAAAGTAAGTAGGCTCTCTGGATTCACATTTACACTATAGTTCCTGCAATGTTCTGAAACTTTGAAGTGGAAGTTATTTGTCTTCTCCCTATCCGTACGGCCTGGGGTCATTTTGTACCCCCCGGGGTTGTATTCTTCACATTTTATAAATAGAATACTTCTAGTACGAAGATCTCTTTGAAACTTTCAGTATTACACAGAAAATAATTTTGACAGACTGCCATGCAAAGCGTACGGATCGGATTAACGAGTAAATTTCCTCTTTGGAAAGTGGTGGCACAAAGTTCCCCACGTCATATGGATACGATAGTAAAACATGATGTACGGATAGGGTTAAGTGGTGGCACAGAGTTCCCACATCATATGGATACGATAGTAAAACATAATGTACGGATAGGGTTAAGTGGTGGCACAGAGTTCCCCACGTCGTATGGATACGATAGTAGAACACGACGTGCGGATAGGGTTAACAAGTTGTGTATTTCATCATAGACTTAATTTGATGTGGCGAGTCCAACGATTTATGTGAGATCAAAGATGTTTAGGTTGTATAGAACATCGTGGCGTCGGTGGCCTAGTGGTTAGGCTCTCGGACTCGCAACCGTAAGGTCGTGGGTTCGAATCCCGCCAGGGACCCGACGTTGTGTCCTAGGGAAAGGCACTTTACACGAATTTTCCTCACTTCACCCAGGTGGGAATGGGTACCCGGCTATAGACAGCGAAAGATCTTGTCAGTATGTTAGTGTTTGAGCGCTTAATCAGCTGCTTGCACTGTATGCTTCCCGGGAAGCTGAGAATGTTTCGGAGTATTCTATGGTCTGCTGGGGTAATAATATAGTGTAAAGCGCATAGAGCCTGCTGTTGAGCGGGGATTTGCGCTATACAAATGCTATCTATTATTATTATTATATTGGTCTGCTCTGCCTGCTGTGGCTGTAGGACCCAACAATGGAGGACATCTTGTATCTCAAGCCTCAGTTTTCCTTGTGCCTTTTTTGCGGTGTTTTTTAACATCTGGGGTTCCTCTGGGGATCCTTCTTCTGCCTTTGTAAGTAAGTTCCTTTTTTCAAGCCCTCACTTTTGTTGATCCCTGTGAGGAAATTTGGTCGATGTAAAGTCAGGGACTGAGCTGAACTCTTGTGCTATGGTATAAAATGTCCTGTCCCTTTAAGCCAGTCGACGTTGGCCTCATGAGCTTTACAAAACTAGTGCACTTGAGCTCTCATGAGTCTGCTTACTATAATGTAGACTTCCATCACTGAATGCTGCAAAAATATGTGTCCCGATGCTGTGGAATCAGGCGCTCGTCAATTTTTGGGCATGTGGAGTTATTAGTATCATCTTAAAGCGTCTTGTCTTTTTTTTTATGAAAAGCATATCCATTTATCTTGGATACAAGTCAGGATATTGGCAATTGAAGGTGAGGGTCACCTGGTTTCAGGGGTAAAATTTGCAAGAAAATGACCACCAAAGTTTAGTTATTTCCTTAGCTTGAGAGTCCGTGGAAACTGATAATTTACATTTTTTGTGCCTTTGATCAATGTTTTTCAAGAAATTCCAAACAGAAATGTGTTCTTTAATAGGCATAGAAGGTGTTAAGTCAAAAAACAAAAAACAAAAATTCGGTTAAAATTGCCAAACCAACAGAAAAATGCCTGTTTTTTCGATTTTAGGATTTTGACGAGCGCCTGATTTCACCACAATGCTTCACATATGCATACGTTGCGCAGAAAGGTTAAGCTAGACTATACACAGGCATGTGATGGGGTCCATAGGGATAAAACAATGCTTCATGTGTATTTTATAGTAGAATATGTAGCTTAAAAAATAGTGCTCATTGTGTACCTTATGAAAGAGTGCTTAGTGTGTAGTTTATAGAAGAATGCTTAGTTTGTAGTTTATAAAAAGAGTCCATAGCGTGTAGTTTATATAAGAGTGCTTTGTGTGTAGTTTATAAAAGAGTACTCAGTGTGTTGTGTTGTGTGTTTCTCCCCAGAGCCAATGAAGGTGAGATGATGAAAACAGCTGCCATGGAACGTGCTCTCTTGGACAAAGAAAGGATTGACCTGGAGAATGAACTAGCCGAGGTCAGTGAAATAGGCTCTGGCTTTTTCCCCCATGTCTCTTTGAATTCTGTAATTTCCATTGTTCTAGAAGCTACCTGAAAGTAGCTTTTGGACTGCAAATCTTTCAGGAACGCCGCTACAACTTGTTCACTTTCATCTGACCAATGGTTAAAACAAGATGAAATGAAATGGCTCTGTTTAATCTTCTCAGGTCTTTGCATTCAGGTCTAGAATTTGGATCACCAACAGAATCTAAAAGTTCATTCATAGAGGTCACTGCAAACTAAGGTTCCGACATGTTTTCTTTGATGTTAGTCTAAAGCGGGTCAAAAAAATAAAATGGAATTTACAGCATACACCAAAAACGTTGAAAAGTTGACATAGTATCCTCAACATCGCACTGTAACGCACGCCAGAGAAACACAATGCAGGAGATGAGTTATTTCAAAACTCACATGGCGACTCTCTTGGGGGGGGGATCTCTAAGCTTACACTGAAATGAGGAGGCAGGGCGGTGTTGCTGTCTCAAAACAAGCAGTTTTGTAGGCATGGTTACTGTAAATCATTTATTTTAGTGATCCTTTGTATGCTTCCAAAGAGCAATTTTTAGTATAGGGCCAAAATAGAGGTGTGATTTTCTGATCACTGTTTGCCGACTAAACAGGCGGCCCTTCACCCCACCATATACAGGCTGGCCTTCTGAGCCCCCCCCCCCCCCCCTACCCTTCCTCCTAAATTCCCCTTTCCAAACCGGAATATGTCTTAGACAGCATTTTTTTCTGGCTCCCTGGTGATTCCGTCTTTGACAGGTTTGACTGTACCTAGAAATTTTGGCTTACAAGACCAAGTTACAGCTTGCTTACAGCTATTGACAAGAGCAAAAGTGAATTTTGGATCTTGAAAAAAAAAAAATGCTGTGCAAACAAGTCTCATGAAATCATTTTGTAGTAGCTTCTATTTTTAAAATTAATTTTAAAAAATTTCCATTTACAGGAACGAAGACGACGCCAGGACGGAGAACGCAGAGCACAAGATGAAATAGAACAGCTGAAGCGAGAACTTGCTGCTCTAAAGAGGCCAGCCCAGGTCAGTTTTTACTTGTATGTTTATTAGCAACTTAAGCTTTCATAATAAAAAAAAAAAAATAGTCAGACAATTCAAGGAAAAGTAATGATCGACATAAATTCTTTTGCTGGCATAGATTGTTATTAGATTTTTAGTGCTATATTTAAGGGGTTCTGAGGAAATGTATGGGAAGGTTGCTATTTTTAAAAGTGACATTTTTGACACTGGAAAACATTATCTTTTTTCACCATTTTGCGTGTTATTTCGATGCAGTTGGGTCATTCGGTAAAAACGTCATTGTCGGCGTTTGCTTCAAATGGCTCGGGAGATGTGCTTAGAGAAAACGTCTTGGAAAACATTCCGTAACAATTCCAGACAAAGAGTGAAACAGAGAAGTGCAGGCCTTTAAAATCAATTTTTAAAAAAACATACCTTGGTGTGAAGAGTATTTTGGCCAAATCCTTTTCAATACAGACTTAGAAATGGATTACCTTTCCTTATTTCATGAAGCTTTGTTTGTGATAAAAATAAAGCTCTCCTTTATCAAAGGTTTTTTTTGGATAAAATAACAACTCTTCAAATGTTGTTGTTTTTTTCCGGAGCCCGTGAGATGAATTTTGCAGGGATTCTACTCATCACATAGCTATTACTATAAAATGGGGAATCTGAGGGGATTCTGTCACTCACCCATCCCGGGGTTGGCTCAGGAAAATGGGGGTTGAAACAGCCCGCCTTTATAATGATGTTCATTGTGTTGGTGGGAGCGAAAACTAGTGAAGAGTATACGGGAAAAATGACAGTAGTCACAAACTGGAAGTTGTGAGGGTGCCAATTTTAAAAGCTTGTGGACTCATAACTTCATATTTGTTTGACTGGTGGTTTATTGTTATGTGTTGTTGAATGGGAACTCTAACAAAAATAATCAACCAACAGTTGAACAGAAATACAGTTATTAGTCAACAAGCGTTCAAAATTGGTACCCTCACAATGTTTAGTTTGTGACTACTGTCGTTTTTCCCCTCCAGTCTTCAATTACAATTGACCGAGTTAATAATGACATTTCAGGAAGACAACGTGGTGGATCTTTATGGGGTAAACAAAAGGCGTCTCGTTCACTTGCAGTTCTTTTAAAGTGCACCTCACTTTGAAATTTTTTGGTGTTTATTTGTTTTTGTTTTTTATGATTGTTTGTTCTTTTCATTAAAAAAATCTGCAATGCACGTTTGAAGGCTTGAGTAATACATGTATTTGAAGAAAGAGCAAAATGCTTGTAAAGAAAAAGATGTATCATTGTTTAACCTTGCTTGGACAGTTGGAAATGAAAACAACACCTCTATGCTTTGTGCTTTTGAACACAGTGTGAATTATCACAAACTTCTACACTGCATCACATGGCAAAGTTGGGAGATGGTGTGTCTGAAGTCAATGATTGTTTAAGTTGTGCATATTTTTCGAAATTCAGTAAGGTTCTATCTCATTTATGTGACCTGATTCCTGATTTTTTTTTCAAGTCTTATCTTAAGATTCTTAGTTATCATTCTAAATTAATTGAAATCATAACTCAACAGATTTGACAATAGAAAAAAAGCTTGAAAATAGTCCAAACAGTGAACATTTGTCAGTAAACAAATCTCATTAACTAAAAATAGACATCTTTGAAAACTTCCAAGGTGAAAAATTGTTATCGACTCCTGTATGGTATAGTTCAGTCTGTCTTAAATATTTGATTATATTAAGCTAAAGCAAAAGGATCTCAGGCGTATGAGCTAAGCAACGAAAGAATAACTCTTTTGGATCTCATTTAAGGAAACCCTCAAAATTTGTTAACCGCAAAAATAAGATAGACAACTTCATTGATTCTCTCAGTTGAAAAACCTCCCCTCATGAAATCTTTCTTTGAATGCCTCACTAGGCCCAGTTGCTGACACCTATAGTAGTATCCCTGTGATTGTATGTGGAGGGGTTTATCGGTCAAAAATAAAATTTTATATTTGATTTAAGTTTCATAATTATTATGTATATGAAAAGTTTTTGTTAATGAAACATTCTAAAAGTATAATTGTAGGATCAAAGTAACTTGGAAAATTGATGGTTCCTAAATATTTCTTCCACAATCTCACTACAAAAAAAATTCTCTTGAGCATGTTTCATTCATTTTGCACTTAAGGAAATAGTACTTCCATGTAAATGAGCCTGGTCATAAGAGCTGGAAAAGTCTACCACCTGAACTGGATGACTGTTTATCTAAAATCTACAGTAACAGCCACAACAGCAACAGCAACAACAATAACACCATATAGGTTAAGGACGTTTACAGTTCAAACTTTGTTTACTTTTTTCTGTATCTGACCTTTGACCTAATGAAGAGACACCCACACTGATGATTGCACGTTCATTATGTCATCTGTTTTATCTTTTATATCAAGCTCTCCCCGTCGTTTTATGCAAGAAAAATTATGAAATTGTGCAAACTGAGCCCAAGAATGTGAAATTATGCGATTTTGTTAATTTTAGCAAAGAATGATAATAGTAAAATAATCAGAAATTATGCAAAAAATGATCAAATTTGGCTGAATTATGCCGGGGTGAATAAAACCACGGGGACAGATTAAGGCTGTTTTAGGGCTGTTTTGTAGTTTACGGAAAGATTACTCTATATTTTGAATGGAAGAAATGCTTCTTTTGCTTTTAGGATACTTTTAAACAAAATCCGTGAACTGAGCAATTTAAGATCTAGAAGGAGTGATTTCAGAGTAGAAATTATAAATTATATTCTATGTGATTACCTTGAACAGTTCAATAGGGGTCTCGATATAAATTTGCCAGTTAGAGTTTCGTGTGTTCTGAAGAACATGATTTTTATATTTTTTATTTCTATTTTTGTAGGAAAAAAGTCTCTCGTGTAGAGGGTCTTCTTCTCTTATAGGACCCAATGCCTATGAATATTTTGTAAATTCTGATAAAAAGTGTATTGGTTGCAGTGTCTCTTTTTATGTGCTCAGCCTCAAGATGTCCTGAACGTTTGAGATTCAACCTGACTAAATAATGAAATTTAAAATGACAAAAAAACAACTAATTTGATCTTTTTCTTATTTCAGAGGTCACCAAACCCATCTGTGTTGAGTATGGGTTCCTACATCAGGTAAGATGTTCTATCTGAATCATTTCAATTGGTGAAACTTTTTCCTTGGCCTCAATGTTCTCTCAGTATCGTTTATTCGTGCTGTTCTGTTCTGTAACAATTTATGGCTGTATGATGTCGTCAATGTGTACGAGAGTGTCTGGGTAGTTTTGTGGGATTGCCTTTACTCAAAGATGTACTGGGGGAGAGAGAGAGTGTGTGTGTGTGTGTGTGTGTGTGTGTGTGTGTGTGTGTGTGTGTGTGTGTGTGTGAGAGAGAGAGAGAGAGAGAGAGAGAGAGAGAGAGGGAGAGAGAGAGAGAGAGAGAGAGAGAGAGAGAGAGGATTATTACAGGAGCTGTGTGCTGCATTTGTCAATTCTTTGTATTATTGTACAGTGCATTGAGCACTTCTGTGTGGAAATACGTTATATAAGTGCAATTTATTATTATTATTATTATTATTATTATTATTATTATTATTATTATTGTTATTATTATTCTAATTCTTCTAATTATTTTAATTATTATTATTATTAGTATAATTATTATTATTATTATTATTATTATTATTATTATTATTATTATTATTATGCAGTTGTCACAGTCAGTAACTATTGAATATATTATAATTTTCCCCTCTCTCCAGTCGCATGCTGATCCCCCCACCCCCCACCCCGGCCTCTCTCGTGTCCGCCCTGCCGCCCATCCCCGAGACGGCCCCGTCCACCCCCGCCCCGAGCGTGCACCCACAGCAGCAGGCTGAAGAGGTTGTGCTCGACTTCCTCACACGCATCAGGAAAAGCATGGACAAGAGTGAGTTGTCTCATCTGTACCTGGTTATTTTTTTGTTTGTTTATTTTGTATATCTACTTACTTTATACGTCCTTTTGTACCTCTGTTTCCTGTTTTAGTAGAGGTTTTACGGCGCTCGCAACTGCATAAGGTCATATGAGTGCCAGAAGATTAGGGGTGTTACAAGAGAGTGACAAACATGAAAAAGAAGAAGGGGAGATAAGGACGATAGATATTTAATAGGAAAGAAAGAGCAAACCACCCTAGAGCACCCTCCAACCACCCTCTTCGTACCTCTTGGGCATCGAGGGGAGAAAGAGCTTCCTGTCTCTAGCAAGTTTGATGGCCTGACTGGGTGGGATATTAAAATTGTATGTTTTCAAGGTATCCTTCACACCCTGGATCCAGGTCTTTCTTGGTCTTCCTCTTGCCTTGTACCCTGATACAGTTTGGTATATAGTCTGTAGTAAAACCCATGAAAGCAAAGTCACTTCATACGAGATAAAAATCCTCAACATCTCAAGACGAGACAGGCAGAGAAATGAAGAAGTAAGAGCAGCTATTGGCATTGGCTCCTACCTGCATTTCTTAGAAAAACAGAATAAAATGGTTTGGCCACCTGTTACGTATGTCACCTAGCCAGCTGGCTTTGAGAGCCTACAGCACCAAGCACTCAGGTTATAAAGGAAGAGGAAGGCCTCGCAAAAGGTGGATTGAGGGAGTCGAAGAAACCCTGAGACGTTATAATATCCCAATTGAAAGAGCTGCGGAGCTGACCTACCATAGAAAACCGCCTCTCCCCTCGATGCTTAATGGCAACAGAGGATGTAAAAGTAAAATTAAAACTTTGCAGTCACGCAGACAGCAGTACAAAGTACCCCATCTGGTCACCCAGCCAGGAGAGTGACTGCTACTGACTTATTGGGCCTGGCACAGTTGCAACATAATAAGGTTATATAAATGCCAAAGATAAGAGGTGTTACAAGAGAGTAACAAACACATAAAAGAAGAAGGGGAGATAGAGACGATAGATTTTTTTTTATAGGAAAGAAGAAGCAAACCACACCAGATCACCCGTCAACCACCCACGAATGCTATCAGGTCTGCTGGGGGGATAAATAGACTGTACAGCACATAGGCCTTGCTGGTGAGCGGGAAATTGCGCTATACAAATGCTATCTATTATTGCCCGTACACCTTCTTTGATTCTAAACTTACTGACAATGTCTTTCCTTTAGGGCATATTAAAAAAGTCAAGATCAGAAGGGAGGGAAGTAGTACTTGGGCAGTCTACTTCCTCTGTGTCTACTGCCCAGGGAAAGCTGTTTCATGCATACTGCTGCTTTAGAATCGTCTGACAAGACTCAAGAGGCCATAATATACGTGGAGTTTACTTAAACACAGCATGATTAATCTGAAAATGATGAGTACAGCAGTCATATTAGATACTTTTAATGTATTATGCACCTTTTTCTGTATCATAACCTATTGCCATATGAAGTAGCTTTTTTTTCTTGTAAAGATAATCTCTTGCAATTACTTAGAGAGTTCTTTTGAAGTCTGCGTTAATTTACAATTTATCCAGATGTTGCACACAATGGCCTAAGTCTTTACTTACGTTCTTTTTTTGTTGGAAGACACATTTAGGTGTTTTAGCGGGTTTTTTTCTTCTATCTCTCAGTCGTGGAAATTTATGAATTTATGTGTTACTATCAATGCAGTTTATAAATTTATGTGTTTCTATTGATACAGCTTATAAATTTATGTATTTCTAAATTTATGTGTTTCCATCAATGCAGTTTATAAATTTATGTAATGGAGAGGAGTAGTACTTGGGCAATTATTATTATTACTGATAATAGTAATAGTAATAATAATAATGCCCATTGTGTGCAACATCTGAATAAATTGTGAATTAACTAAGACTTCAACAGACATCTCTAAGTAATTGAAAGAGAATATCTACAAAAGAAAAAAAATCTATATCATATGGCAGTTGGTTAGGATTCAGAAAATATCATCTTTACAAGAAAAATACCGTACATCATATTTATGCAGTTTCTAAATTTGTGTGTTTCTCTTTGTGTAGTTGCCGGTGGGGAAGGGGAGGAGGCGAGCGAGCTGGACGCGGAGACCAGGAAGTACATTCACAACAACGTGGAGGACCTGAAGAGGGCTCAGGTGAGACTAAAGACGTCATGATGATGATGATGATGATGATGATGATGATAATAATAATAATAATAATGATAATGATGATAATAATAATAATAATGTTAATGCTAATAGTAATAATAATAATAATAATAATAATAATAATAATAATAATAATAATAATAGTAATAATGATAATAATAATAGTAACAACTACAGATTGCATTTTATAACGCTGTATCCCTTACAAGTATTACCTCAAAGCGCTTTACATCAATGATAAGATTACTGAGAGGTAAACCTCATACACATATTATATGAACGAGTCATTTCTCATGAATGAAAAAAGTACTCCCGTGAGTGATCAGTAGTTGTTCATTTGTTTTTTTAAACTCAGTGGTGACTTACCGCTTCAACTGATGGAGATAAACGTTTGTACGTAGTGTAATGGTTATATTCTCTTTATCTTGACATGCAGAAGTCATGAGTTCAAATCTCATTTGGTAGGGGGTTGATTTGACCTCATCTCTGTCTTTCTGCTGAGATGTTATGTCAAATTTAGTGCAGGCTGGACCTGATATATAAGGTTGAAGCAACTGACCTCCTATTTACAGCCAACCCCTTCATAACCGATATGATGTACATCGTTCGCCATTTTTAATTATACGGCAAAGGAGCCAAGAAGCTCATATGATTGTCAGTAATTGATAGTGCCGTTAAACTCTTACTACAACTAAAAACTAAACATGAGGTAGACAGTAGTATTTACAAACTGTGTTTAATTATAAGTAACCGACCGCCAAATTTAGCACTGCTCTTTGTCCCTGGAGGTCCAAAACTGCCTGGTGAGGCACAAACTGACCTTGTGTCTCAAAGATGTTAACTTTGTGTGGTGTCGGTGGCCTAGTGGTAAGTCTACCGGACTGGATCGTAATCGTGAGGTTACGGGTTCGGGGGGTTCGAGCCACGGGACCGACGTTGTGTCCTTGGGAAAGGCACTTTACACGAATTTTCCCCACTTCACCCAGGTGAAAATGGGCACCCAGCTTTAAGCAGAGAAAGATCTTGTCAGTTTGTTAGTGTTTGAGCGCTTAACCAGCTGCTTGCACTGTATGCTTCCCGGGAAGCTGAGAATGTTTCTGAGTGTTCTGTGGTCTGCTGGGGTAATAATATAGTGTAAAGCGCATAGAGCTTGCTTTCGGGTTGGGATATGCGCTATATAAATGCTATTTATTTATCATTTATTATAACTCTGGATGTGATATGTTCCTCAGATGGAGGTGTTTGGTCACCGTCTGCAGCCCGGAGAGTTTGAGCGGATGGACGCGCAGCAGCAGAAGAAAAACAGCGACCAGATGATGGCCCTCATCCAGAAGTGGCGGGAGGACCGACGTGCCCGCGAACTGCGACAAGGGAGATAGACGTGACCGTGAGCTACGACAAGTGAGATAGATGTGACCGTGAGCTGCGACAAGGGAGATAGACGTGCCTGCAAGATGCGACAAGGGAGATAGACGTGACCGTGAGCTACGACAAGTGAGATAGACGTGACCGTGAGCTACGACAAGTGAGATAGACGTGACTGGGAGCTGCTACAAGGGAGATAGACGTGCTGGTGAGCTGCTACAAGTGAGATAGACGTGCTTACGAGCTGCGACAAGTGAGATAGACGTGACCGTGAGCTGCGACAAGTGAGATAGACGTGACCGGGAGCTGCTACAAGGGAGATAGATGTGACCGTGAGCTGCTACAAGGGAGATAGACGTGACCGTGAGCTGCTACAAGGGAGATAGATGTGGAGCTGCGACAAGGGAGATAGACGTGACCACGAGCTATGACAAGGGAGATAGACGTGCCAGACTCAGTTCGCAGCAAAGTGATGGTTGGTCGTCTCTTTGAACTGCTGTTGAACGGAGGGCTGCACAACTTAAAAGAGATAATCTTTACAAGAAAAAAGACCCTATATATATGTCATATGGCAATTGGTTATGATTCGGAAAACAGCATCTTTATTAGAAAAAAACCCTATATCATATGGCAATAGGTTATGATACGGAAAACGGTACACAGTACATTAAAAATAGTGCTGTTTAGTGTCTCTGTATTGTTCAGTGTCAAAGAAAATCGTGTTTACTTCTCTGCGAGAAGCAGCTATAGGCTAGTACAGTTGACTCTGCTTGTGTTGAACTCGCTTGAGTTGGTCTGGGGTTAAGCTGATCTTTTTCTCGGGACCCAACACCTCTTTTGCTTCATAAGTCCCAACAGTTAAGTTGAATTTCGAATGAGTTGATCTTTTCTCCCTCCTCCAGCGCCGTCAACTCGTCCGTAGTCGACTGTAATATACTATCAAAGACAGTGCACTCTGACATAACTCCAGCTGTGTGTGGAGTGCACCATTTGTGTCACGACGCGGTGGAATCAGGCGCTCGTCAATTTTTGGACGTGTCGAGTTACTGATGTAATCTGAAAGCTTATTCATTTGCCTTGCTTTCAATATAAAAAAAAATTGATGTCCATCTAGCTTGAATTGAAGTGGAAATATTTGCGATTGAAGAAGGTGAGGTAGCTTGGTTTCAGTGATTGAATGAATGAGAAAATGTGCAGTTTGGTAGCTTCAATATCTTAAGAGTCCTTGAAAACTGAAAATTACATATTTTGTACCTTTAAACAAGGTATTTCCGTAAAATGCACATGGAAATGTGTTTTCATATGAAAATGAAAGGTGTTTTGCGAAACAAAATTTCGATAAAAATTACCAAACTGGTGGAAAAACGCCTTTTTAAAAATTCGATTTCATTATTTTGACGAGCACCTGATTTCACCATGATGCCTCACATTTGGCTCTATTTTAAACCAGAGATGACACTCTACGCAATAGTTTAGCAGTGTTCTGCGAAGTTAGGTCTAAATGAAGTTGCAGTAGAGAGTTGACCATGGCAGAGCAAAAGAAGCCGAAAGGCTCATTCTTGGTGGAGGAAAAAACAGATGATCCCAGCAGATGTGGACAAAAGATCGATGTCGAAAACCCAAATGTGCAAATCTAAGTTGTCAGTGTATCCAACAGGCAAGCTGGTGTGGCAGAGGGAGCACATATATAATATATAAAATTTTAGCCAAATGCGCACCCTCTTTGTACATAAAGAGAAAAAAAAAAGTGTGTCCACTTTGGTGATGGCTGTCTTAGAACTGGTGCAAATTCGGAAAAATCAATTATATCCGTTTACTTGATTGATGCCTACTTGTTCTGAGAGCAAATGTCACTTAGAAACTACAGTGCAGCCTCTCTATAAGTTATAAGGACATTGTCAGGACCCCCAAAAAATGTCATTATTATATATATATATATGGAGAGAGAGAGAGAGAGAGAGAGAGAGAGAGAGAGAGAGAGAGAGAGAGAGAGAGAGAGTGGTGTGTGTGTGTGTTTGTGTGCATATGTATGTGTGTGTGTGTGCATCATTGCATGGTTGCATAATATTCTATAAGTACATGTTCTGGTACTATGAGTGTGTGTGTGTGTGTGTATGTGTGTGTGTGTGTGCATCATTGCATGGTTGCATAATATTCTATAAGTACCTGTGCTGGTACTGTGAGTGTGTGTATGTCTGTGTGTGTGTGTCTGTATGTGTTTCTGTGTGTGTGTGTGTCTGTGTGTGTGTGTGCATGTGCGTGGTGTGTGCGCACAGTAATCTCTACACAACCTGTAGTGCTTAGTGGTGATCCCATCTTAAGCCATTGTCATGATCTCAGAAGATGAAGGGACAAGAAAGCAGTAATTGTGATATTATTTTTGTATAACTGACCAGCTGTATGATTTATTTGTAAGTATTCTTATTATCTGTTATTTTCAAATTCAGAATTTCCTACAAGCTGAATATGCTTAATGTATACAGCGCGCTCATATGATGTAATGCAGTTGGGAGCGCCGTAAAACATTTACCACCCCCCAAAATATTTTTCAAATGCTATTTTCATTACTGTTACTGTAAGTCAGTTTTCCATGTGAGTCATATTTCACCAATATTTTTTCTCTAATGCCATTATTGTTTAAAACATTTTAAAAACATAATAATTGTTTTCTAGTTAACTGCATTATTGATTTTCTATCACTGGGGTTTTTTTTAAGATTTAGAAAAAACTTTTCTTTTCATTTTGTCATTATTGTTTTCTTTGTGTCATTTCATTGTATCCATTTTTTTTTCATTGTCATCATTATTGTTTTTTTAGCGTCATCAGTTCAAGTACTGAAATAAAAATCTGGGCCTGTACTGTATAATGTATCATGTATATCATGTCATGTATATATATAAAATATCAACTGCACTCAGTTCTTTCAAGCTGAGGAAGCTTTATTGATTATTTTGAAAAACAAAATCAATATTTCCTATCGATTCTGTAACTGTTACTGTTGTTTATTGATTCTGCCCTTGTATTGCCAAGTCTGTTATTTCAATGATTCATGCTGGTTAGCAGTTTATAGAATTCAGTATTGGTGGAAGAGGAAAATATATTTATATATATGCAAGATTTGATAAGTCTGGAGTTGACTAGTCTTTATGAGAATGTCTTGTTTTTTTTGTTTTGTTTTTTTAAACTCTGGAGATCCGATAGCTTCTGATGCGCCTATTATTTGACAATTGTGACGTAACACAGCATGTCATATGAAGGGATAATGATAATAATAATATAATAATAAATGCATTTATATAGCGCGTATCCACGCTCTACAGCAGGCTCTGTGCATTTTGCAACTATGCTACTAATATTAACCCAGCAGACCCTAGAACACTCAGAAACATTCTCGGCTTCCCAGGAAGCATACAGTGCAAGCTGTAGATTTCACTTCCTCAAATGTGAGGCATCGTGGTGAAATCAGGCTTTCGTCGATTTTTGGGCATACAGAGTTGATGGTATCATCTTAAGGCCTGTCCATTTTCCTTGTTTTGGGGTGAAAATAATATCCATCTATGTTGAATAGAAGTCGAATTATGTGTTATTGAAGGAGGTGAGGGTCATCTGGCTTTAGAGATAAAATTAGTGAGAAAATGGCCGCCAAAGTGGAGTTATTTCTTTAGCTTGAGAGTCCGTGGAAAATGAACATTTACTTTTTTTCTGCCTTTAATCAATGTTTTTCCGAAAAATCCATGAAGAAATGTGCTCTTTAATGGGCATGAAAGGTGTTGAACCAAAAAACAAAAATTCGATAAAAATCCCCAAACCAGCGGGAAAATGCCAATTTCTTGACTTTCATTATTTTGACGAGCGCCTTATTTTACCATGCTGCCTCACAAATATAAACAAACTAACAAGATCTTTCGCTGTCTGCCTATTCTCATCTGGATGAAGTGAGGAAGACTCATGCAAATTGCCATTCCCAAGGACACGAAGTCAGGCCCCTGATGGGATTTGAACCCTCGACCTAATGGTTGTCAATCTGAGAGCCTAACCACTAGGCCACAGATTTTGCTCAGTAGGAAACATTTTTATACACATAAAATCAAGATGAATATAATATACATGGAAGTATAATCTTTGCATTACCTTGTTCAAGTGGAAAATGACTCTGGTGCATATCATCATCCAGTGCTAGATCTGCGACAGACATCAGTGATAATGGTTCTCCATTCGTTCCTTTGCTCGGATACTCATTAAAAAAGCTACGTTTCCCTGATCTTTCCCTGTTATCCATTTGTTTAGGTTCCCTAAGTTTGTTGCTCTGATCCTTCCCCTGTCTCTTTTGCCTTCAATTTTGCCAGTGAGAGCTAGGTGTTCATGACCCGTATGTCTATTTTGGTGCTTATAAAGCTCAGTTATTGTGGCCCTGGGCCATGGCGGGAATGGTCCTGGTTCGTATCCGCCATTGGGGCATACTTCGACTCAGGTTATTTGGCGGAGTTTTTCAAGGCCCTCCATATGGTCGCTTTTGAGCACAAAAGGGGGCTTTCCCAAATTTCCCAAAAAATGCTGTTTTGAGAAAATCGCCTGATTTTGCCGCGTCGTGACACAAATGTGTGACATTGCATGGCTTTATCTCTGTGGGGAGGTATAGCGGACATAATAATGATATAGTCTAATCAGCAGCAGGCCAAAGGCATCAAGTGGGTGGTTGGAGTGTGTCACCAGGCCCTACTTCTTTTCTTTCCCTCCGTTGTTTCTGTTTGTCTTACCCCCCCCCCACCCCCCCACCCTTCCCCACCAGGGCTGTGCTACTGAGTGAAGTGTCTTTAGGCCATTCCCAAAGGGAGGATATTAAACTGCTGTATAAGGGCTGATTTATCAATGTCATACTCTTACTGTGCTGGAACAACATAGGGGGAACTGCTGCTTTTTCTTTCCTCATCCATGCTATCGTAATTTTTCCTCTACTTCTTCTCTTGTATTTTTGTCACTCTTTTGTGAACTTTTACTGCAACTTCCGTGGTGCCTTGATAGTCGTAGCAGCCTTTGTGCTGTTGTGGTTGGAGAGGTGAGCAGAGTAAGCCTGATTACCCGTTTGGACTTATCTGTTGACATCCACCCCTTGATGCTCATATGACCGTGTGCAGTTGCGAGTGCCGTAAAAACCTTACTAAAACTAAACAAACCCTAAAAACTAGAAGACAATCTTGTGGCACACTTCCAACCATCATACACTGATTATAAACGCTTTGATGAATATTATTATTATTATTATTATTATGTCGCAGTGATCCGGAGTATCTTCCAGTGCTTCATTCACCGTGTGGGTTGGTGATGGACACCCCCCCCCCCCCCCCCACACACACAACTCTCCCCTTACATTGAAATCTCCACAGAAGATCGATTCACCAGGTAGAGTTCTTTGCATCTCGTCGGTCAAGCACCATCCTTCTTCTTCTTCTTCCTTGTTCTCGATGACAGCCGCCAGACAGTCAGTCCGATGTCACGCACAAACTGTGCAGTCCGCTTCAAATCTGAGAGACGGCCATAGAGCTTTCTCTCAAGAGGAGTCACATTCCGAAGCATCATCCAATTTGCTTGCCTCATTGTGCAGTTGCAAGCGTAAACATATAATTTATTACATGTGTATGTTCCTAACTGGTAATTTTGGAGCACCCTGTCTTCCTAAGACCCCAGTTTTATATTGAAGTATTCAAGTATTTAAACACAAATTTGCCTCTCGTTTTATGTCTGTCGTTTATTGCCGTTGTGAAACTCAATTGAAAAATACGTATGAATTTATATACCTAAGCTTCTCTGGTGTTTTAAGCAACTGCAGAAGTGCACCCCAGTATCTTCTTAAACTCACATGTTGTAGTTTGAAAGGGCTGGATTCTTACAAAGAATAGACTGCTTAATATTAGTATATACTCAACCTCTATAGAGACGTTTGAGTGGGCCTATACAAACTTTGCATTATTTCGCTACCCCAGAATTACATAATTCTATCTGCTCAGTGCACGGTTTTGAGAAATTTGATGTAAAAAATTTGAGTTTCACAACATGACAAGCTCTTTCGAATGCGGTTCTTTGAATGCGATTTTCTTGATGACAACTCTAAATAGTCTTACTAGTTTGAGAAAGCAGCAGATAGAACATTTAGTTTCCGACCTCATTGTTTTAGGGACTCAAATTAAGCGGCCAAAAATGTCAGATAGAACCTTGTATTTCTAGGGTAGCGATTTCGTAAAAGTGTTTCTCTTTTGAAGGTGTATTGTCAGATGGTCAGCAACTAACTGGAGCTTCTCGAAGATCAGCACTAACTAAAACACAGACATTGTTGTTTTAGAAGGGTTGAATTGGTTGTCAAACCTCACCATATACATCATGTATACTGCTGGAGTAAAGATTTTTAATAAATTAAGCTCAGAGGCTATATTTTGTCTGGTCAAATAAAACAGTTTTATTTAAAGGTAATGTGACAACTGCATAAGAAAACATCAAATGGGAACCACATGCATTACATTTTCGATCCCTGATTTTCTTTTATTCGAATTTCGAAGTCCACACTGGAACAGTGTTCTCTGCTCTGGCCATACTTTGCAAAATAGGTGTAATAATAGTAATAATAATCATCATAATAATAGTAATAATAATAATAATAATAATAATAATAATAATAATAATATAATAATAATAATAGTAATCATTATAATAATAAGCCTATTAATAATAATTATAATAATTATTATTTAATAATAATAATAATAATAATAATAATAATAATAATAATAATAATAATATAACAATATAATAATTACAATAATAGTAATAATTAAAATAATAATGATGATGATTACTATTATAACAACCACAACTCTGAGAAGGGAATAAATATTTTATATATATATATATATATATATGTTATATATATTAACAAGAGTCTTTCTCTTCATTAAACTACTCACATACATTGTTGAAGTACAAATCATTCATGTACATGTATAACGTGGCACATTAAGGAAAGGCATAGAGGCTGTTGAAGGGGGGAAAAAAAGAGAAGTTTTGGCTTCAGCACCAGTATTCTTCGGTATTCTGCAACTCACACAGAGTTGGCGGGTGCTCTGGTGTGGTTTGCTTCTTCTTTCCTATCAATCAAACATCTATCGTCTTTATCTCCCCTCCTTCTTTTTTGTGTTTGTTACTCTCTTGTAACAACCTCTAATCTTCGGCACTTACATGACCTTATTGTACACGTTACGAGTGCCGTAAAACTCTTACTAAAACGAAAAAGCCAGAGCCACCACTCCATACCGCCCTCTTCGCCGTCTTGATGATATCACCTATTTCTATTTTTTCGACGGATGTCCTTTGCTATTGCTTCCACCACTGCCCTCCCCGCCCGTGGAAGGCCCAGAGGAGGGGGCGTGGCCTATTGAATGGCCGCCGGAAATACCGATGACGAGGCAGATGGCGACGACAAGGGAGAGAACTGCGACGACGATGGCGAAGTAGAAGCAGATGAAATATTCCTCTGTGTCGAAGCCGGCGTCGTAGGTCTCGTCAAATTTCACCCCGAAGAGAACGAGAGCCACGATGTAGCAGATGACTGAAATCAGAATTGTGATAAATAAATTTTAGTATTGGAGAGAGAAAAAAAATAGTGATTCACCTGATTCCATTTCGTCCAGCTAGAAATGCTGCTTTCACTTTAAAATGCATATATTCACGCTAAAGCGTATGCCCCGTTATTCCGCCAATTCCACACTCGTTCCAAGGGTGGCGATATAACGAGGTTTGACTGTACTGGTACTTAACCCATTAAGAATACCCATAGGGCGGTGCTACTGACTGAAGTGTCTTTAGGCCATTCTCAAAGCGGGGAAATTTCTCGCAGAGTAGAATTGTAAATGGGCTGATCAAACAAAAAAAAACAAAAAAAAAGTAAATGGGCTGATCCAACAATGTCATGCTCATAACTGTGCCTGAACTAAGAACAGGGAACTGCTGGTTTTTTTCCCCCTAATCCTTACTATCGTCATTTTCCTCTACTTCTTTTGTATGTTTGTCACACTCTTGTGACCCGCTATTTCCGGGGTGCCTTGATAGTCAAAGCAGAATTTGTGCTGTTGAAGCTACAGAGGTGAGCAGAGTAATTAGTCTGATTCCCTGTAAGGACTTCTCTGTTGACATCCTCCCCTTGGCGCTCATATGACCTTATGTAGTTGCAAGTGCCGTGAAACCTCTTCTAAAACGAAACCATTAAGAAAGTGAGTTCGATCCACTTGAATACGCCTGAAGCTGGGCGAAGGATCGATTCCGGAACCGATTCCCACGGAAGAAAAGTTCCGACTCCTCTTTACGTAAACCAACGGTTACCAGTTACTTTAATCATAAAAATCTTTTTAAAAAATAAATTTTTGAAAAATAAAAGTTGATGCTTCGTAGTGTTCCGAAGTCAGGGTTACCTTAAATCCTGAAGATGTTTGAAGCCAACCAGGTAACCACCGGAAGAAATTGCATCTTTAGAAAGTAAGTTATTGGGTTCGGAGTCGAGTCCTACGATTCCTAGCTTTCAATAATCAAGAACCTAGCCGCCCAGCATTATTGAAGATCAGCTGTTTTGGAGCACTTAAAAAAAACACAAACAAGCATTACTTTGTCCTTGGAACATAGGAGGGGGCGTGGCTTGTGACTTGTGCGTTCTCTCTATCTGAAATGTGAAAAGGTAGGAAACAAAACGCGCATACACGTAGCATAAAATATTATGTGTGTTCATGGGGCGAATGTGTGTCTGTGCGTGTATGTGTGTCTGTGCGTGTATGTGTGTCTGTGCGTGTATGTGTGTCTGTGCGTGTATGTGTGTCTGTGCGTGTATGTGTGTCTGTGCGTGTATGTGTGTTTGTGCTTATATGCGTGTCTGTGCGTGTATGTGTGTCTGTACGTGTATGTGTGTGCATACGTCCCGCGTTATTATACTTTATAATAATTGTACATGTATATATATATATATATATATATATATATATATATATATATATATATATATGCGTATATATGATCTGTAATATAACAAGCTTGGCTAGGCTCACCTGCCACAATGGCGGAGACGATGGAGAAGACCCGGGTCTCCTTGTTGGAGTTACACTGAGGCACAAACAGGACCAGGATGACAAAGAACAGCGCCAGGTTCACACCCATGAAGCCAAAGACCATGAAGCCTTGGAAGGCGCCGTACCATGCTGTGAGTGGAAGAATGCATTCAGTTCATTGTTAATAGTTGTTTATCTTTTACAAAGTTCTTATGTTTTACAATGTTTTTTTAAAAACTGAGTTTTACATCTCCTTAAACGTAATTTCGGAAGGTTTACGGACAAGAAGCCGAAGATCATGAAGCCTTGAAAGGTGCCGTACCACTCTGAAAGGAAACAAACAGTTGATTGATAATTATTGTTTATGTTTTACTTAGTTTTTATATCAAAATTTTATTACGTTTTGATTAATTTTTACCACTCCATAAACGCAATGTAGACAATTTAGGAGGATTTACGTTCTTGAAGCCAAAGATCATGAAGCCTTGGAAGGTGCCGTACCACGCTGGAAAGACAAACAGAGTCGATTATTAATTTGTAATGTTTTACTAAGCTTTTGGTAATTATTGTTAATGTTTTATTAAGTTTACGTCCCCATAAACACAATATAGACCATTTAGGAGGGTTTAAGCAAATGAAGACGACGATCATGAAACCTTGGAAGGCGCTGTACCAAGCTGTGATGAAACACAGATTAGATAGTTAATTATTGTTGTATGTTTTACTAAGTTTTGCGTCCTCATAAACACAATTTAGACCATTAAAGAAGGTCCGCGTGAAGTAGAAGATCATGAACAACTTAGACCATAGAGGAAGGTTTACGTCCATGAAGCCAAAGAACATGAAGCCTTGGAAGACGCCGTACTGCGCTGTGAGGATACATAGCTCATTGTTAATTATTAATGTTTTTACTAAGTTTTTGTCTTAGAAAAGCAGTAAACAAGACCAGGCGAGACAAAATTAGAAACTCAGTAATCAGAAAAATGGTGGGCACAAATGACGTCATGCATCACATCCAACACCAAAGAACTAAATGGTTCGGACATCTCATGCGGTTACCAACCGTGACCCAAGCTCTCCGGCTGGCGACAGAGAGAAGTCTCTTTCTTCCCGCGTCACCCAAAAGGGTATAAGAGGCGGATCAAAGTAAAAGTAC